TTATAAAGAAGAATTGAAAGGAAATAGAGGGAGAAAGAAATAAAGAGAGTGGGTGAGAAGAAAGGCAAAAATGGGGAGTGAAGATAAAAAGAAAGAAAATACGAAACGAAGAAAAACTTAGAAAAGAATACATTTATTTTTTGTGGTTATTTAAATTACAATCACGAGAGCAGAAATTGGGAAAAAGAATAAAGTGGGCGGTGTGGGGGAGAATGAGAAGAGAAAAACAAAGGAAGGGCGAAAGGATAGATTGGGAGGAAAGAAAGAAAAGATAGATGAACAAAGAGAGAGAGAGAGAGAGAGGAGGGAGAGAGAGAGAGTGTGAGACAGAAGGAAGGAAAAGAACGCGTGGAGGAAAAAAGAAGAGGAGATAAAGAAAAAAAGAAAGCAAAGTTAAAACGAAGGGAGAAAGAAAGAAAGAAAGAAAGAAAGAAAGAAAGAAAGAAGAGGATAAAAGAGAACAGAAAAAGAATGCAGGAAAGAAGAAAGAAGTATAAGTGTGAAGGAAGGAGAAGAAATTTAAAAAGATGAAAGAGAAGTAAAAATCGTTGAATGAGTAAAAGAAAGAATAAGAAAATGAAGAATGTGGTTGAGAGAAAAAGGAATGAGAATGAAATAGAAAGGAAGGAAAGAAGGAAAGAAAGAAGAAAAAATTGGAGGAAGGAAGGAAGGAAAAAAGAAAAGAGAGAAGAAAATCACGCTTTAAATGTGGGAGAATTGTGAAAGATCGTAAGTAAAAGGATGAAAAATAAGTATAAACATTAAAGTCTCTTGGGATCGAAGATTTTGCTCGCCCACGAATGAATGAATTGCAGTTAGAACGTTAAGCACTTGCTCAGGATGTGCTTGTCTTCTCAAGTAATCCTGTTTTAGCATCATGGAAGCAATCGTAGGCGGATATTAATTTCCTACCTGGGCTCCAGTTGGTCGAATGGTAGGGAAAAGAAAATGGCGATTGTCAATGTTTACTTTCTTTAATTTTGCGTTAAATACAAATGGAAGATCTTAGCAAGTTAATACAACCAGAAATGGAACAAGATTACGACATAGATGGGATTTTATGATTCAAGCATTTTTTTTTATTTTCCTATTCATCAAAAACAGCCTGCCGTACTAATTGTCGTTATAGTGACTTTTCTACCAAAGTACCTGATTGGTGGATGACTAATTTAAGGATCATCACCCAATTTATTCTTCTCTGTCGATATTGTAATCAAGTTTTTATTTGTTGATGGTACAAATTAGATTGGAGCAACTTCGCCAGGATTTGATTCGACACAAAACACTTTGGAATTGATTCGAATTCCTAGACATTTATGGGAAGCATTAAAGGCAAAATTGGCAGATATGGTAAAGTTTGCATTCCTCTGTAGACAAAGATGTGCCGGTTTGAGTTCCGGAGAGAGTTAATGGAAACGACGAAGAAATTTATTAAATCTTATGGTAGGGACTGAATAATACGCTGTTTACATCTCAATCCAAACCTTTACGTTCTGTTATCTCAGTTGAGAGATTCGGGTGTTACATCTTTCTTTTTATTTCGTCTTCGCTCTGTCACACTTGTCCTTCTTTCCAGCAAACAGATATTTCGATCTCTTTGCTTGTATTTTACTCTTTTTTTTATGTTACATATGATTACATATTATACAGTTATTACACAATTACTAGTGTAAAAATGTTCCTACTTTGTCATGCCGGATTTTTAAAATAATTATTTTAATCAATTCGTTCCATTCATTTACAGTCTCGTCTCTTTCTCTACGAAGACGACATTTGCTGTCTTTTTCTATTTTCTCAAAATTTGCAGTTTTTTTTTATCTTTTGTCGACATTTGCTGTCTTTTACTCTTTTGCCGATATTTGCTGTCTTTATTTCATTTGTCAACATTTGCTGTCTTTTTTCTTTTGCTGATATTTTCTGTGTTTTTCTCTTTTGTCGACATCTGGCAAAATTAGCTGTCTTTTCTTTTTGCCGAAATTTGCTGTATTTTTCTATTTTGCTAACATTTGCTGTTTTAAACTATTTTGTCATCATTTGCTGTCTTTTTCCTCATTTGCAGCATTTTCTTTTGTCGACATCTACTGTGTTTTTCTCATTTGTAAATATATACTGTCTTTTCACTTCTGTCAACATTAGCTGTTTTTTTTTATTTGTCGACACTTGCGGCCTTTTTCTCTTTTGTCGACATTTGCTGTCATTTTCTCCTTTGCTGATATTTATTGTCTTTTCCTCATTTGTCAAAATTTACTGTTATTTTCTCTTTTGCAGACATTTTCTGTTTTTTGGTATTTTGTCAACATTTGCTATCTTTTTTTTTTGCCGACATTTCTTGTCTTTTTCTACTTTCTTAAAATTTGCAGTCTTATCTTTTGTCGACATTTGCTGTTTTTTCTCTTTTGCCGACATTTTCTTTGTTTTTTCTCTTTTGTCGATATTTGCTGATTTTTTCCCTTTTGTCAAAATTAGATGGTTTTTCTCTTTGCCGAAATTTGCTGTCTTTTTCTCTTTTGTCAACAATTGCTGTTTTTCGCCTTTGTCTACATTTGCTGTTTTTTTCGCTTTTTGTCGACATTTGCTGTCTTTTGATCCTTTGCCGATATTTGCTGTCTTTGACACATTTGTCAACATTTACTGTGTTTTTCACTTTTGCCGACATTTTCTGTTCTCTTTTTTCGGTATTTCTCTTTTACACATATCTACTGTCTATTTCACTTTGGTCGACATTTGCTGTCTCCTTTTTGCTGATATCCGCTCTCTTTTCCTCTTTTATCAATATGTGCTGTCTTTTTCTCTTTTGCCGATATTTGCTGTCTTTTTCTCTTTTCACGAGATTGCTTATTCGGGAGGTTGATCATGGTTCTCCACAATTTCCTATCCCTTGTAACTTTTAACAATATCTTGTTAGGTAGGTTACTCGCTGATTACCTCTCTCCCTCTTGTTTTCAATATATCTTGTGCATGTCAATCTTTCTAAGCCCTCTTTCCTCATTATGTGCCCTAGATATATATCAATTGTCACTTTCTGATTGTCGTTATTATTTCCATTTTTCTTAAAACCTCCTCGTTAATCAAATGTTCCGTCCATGATATTCTCAGCCACTTTCTTTAGAAATAAATTTTTCTTGCCTCGTGTCTCTTCTTATGTGAGGAGATTGTCCACTATTCACTGCCATGTAAGAAGACTGATATTACGTAAAAGTTCAGTAGCCTTCTTTGTTTCTAATGACATTTTCCTGTTTTTAATAATTTGCTTAGTTTTTGGAAGACATTTTCCCTATTCCAAATAGCATTCAGATTTCGATGTGATATTTCGGTCTTCTCTTAAAAAAAACTCTCAGATATTTAAAATTCTGTATTTGCTTGATTTTAGTATCTTCAATTCATATTTCTTTGCTGAGAGTTTTTCTCTTCCTGGCAATCATATATTTTGTTATCTTACAATTGATGTTTACTCCATTCGTCTCACATTGCTTCTCTAGTTTTTTTCTGTATCCACTCTGCGTCATCTGAATATATTGTTACGTTTGTGCCCGCCAATAATAAAGGAGGGTGCTGGGAAATTTAGGATACTCATTGTTAGTCGAAAAAAAAGCAATAAAATATGAGAAGCACAAAAGAAAAGGAAAAAGACATTGAGCAAAATACGAATGGAAAATAGGAAAGTGTCGACTCATGGTAAAGACGGCATCTTGTAACGATTGGAAAGAATGAAATCTGCACTCATGATGTTGATAGAATTAGAGATAAAAAGAAGGCAATGTAGAAAGAGAGAGGAAGTAAATGGAAAAAGAAATATGGAGAGAGAGAGAGAGAGAGAGATTGTAAATTACCCGAGTGAGAAGGAAAGAAATAGAAGAGGAGGCGTTAGTGAGGAAGAGGAAGGGAAGAGGAAAAAATAAAGATAGATAGATAGATAGATAGATATGAATAGACCGAGATAGATAGAATAACAGATAGATAGATAGATAGATACGAAAAGAATGAGATAGAAAGATAGATAGATAGATAAATACGAACAGATTGTGATAGATAGATATGACTAAGATAAATAGATATGAGTACCATAGATAGTTGAATAGATAGATAGATATATAGATATGACTAAGATAAATACATATATATATATATATATATATATATATATATATATATATAGATAGATAGATAAATAGATAGATAGATAGATAGATAGATAGATAGATAGGAACAAACAGAGATAGATATGAACAGACTTAGATAGATTGGAACAAATTTGGATAGATAGATAGATAGATAGATAGATAGATAGATAGATAGATAGATAGATGGATGTGAAAGGAAGAAAGTACATTTCCATTAATATAAACATGTGAGATCTAATTTTATGTGTGAAGCTCCACTCGGTAAAATTACAAGCAGCTGAATTATTTTCATCGTAACTTAAGTGATATTTAATTAAAATGTATTTGATAAAAATTCAGCAAATATGTGCATATTTTGAGGAAGTAAGATTTTTCTTTTTGCAGATGGTATTACAAGTTTGAAATCCATCCGTGCAACCATTGATAATTGAGCTGTGTCCTTACCAGAATTACCGCCCACCATTTCCATGAGCCTCTGTTTCGCACATTTTCTGCTCGTCTTTACTTAAAAGTTGTCTAATGATTTTTAGCTTTTTTTTTCTGACCCAGTGGAGTGTTTCAGAAAATGAATGTTTGAAAATAAATGGCTAAAATTGAAATGAGCCTCAGAAATCCGTTTAAAATTACAAAAAATGCGACAGAAATGGGCGAAAGTCTCTCTTTTTCTTTCATGTGGTTATCCTTTATCCTGTTTCCAATAATTTTTAAAGAAGTTGAAATAACTTCCAGCAATATATCCTTTAAATCTTTAGAGGTTACGGATATTTGGCCATGTAAATAATAAATATGAAAAATAAATAAATAAATATAATAAAATACTATATCGTGTTGTCGTGTTTATATTCTATGACAGAAGCAATGAACACCCAGGGCCCATAAATCTCTGGACATAACTCTTCAAAAGAACATATTCTGGTGTAATACTAATGGTTGTTGATATAATACATTTTTCTCAAAAAATATATGTACTGAAAATATTTTATATTAAAATTACCCCAGATATTTAAGTAAAGTTTAAGTCAAGTGTTCATTGCGATGATGATTTTCAAAAAAAAAAAATATGATTCGATAAATACATAATTCAAATCTATATCTCTTTTGGGGCCAAAGACCCGATTTAGGTCACTCAGAGGAATTTGCTTAATCTCTTGTTCATAGTGTGCATGTTTAGCTTATTTCAAAGAATACAATTCTAATTTCTGTGGTATAACACTATTCAAAAACCTTAAAAAATCGATGAGAAAAATTATCGTAACATGAAAAATCGATTTAAAATGATTAGAAACGATAAATGGAAAAAATCGATCGTAAAATGAGACACAATACGACAGCAGTATTAAAAGTATAATTCAAACGAAATGAATGAAAAATCTATTTAAAACAAGTAAAAAAAGAAAAACGTTTACAATAAAAAATCTTTTGTAAATGTACTAATGAAAGATAAATTTTGAAAATCTATTTTTCAATGCGTCGTTTTGCAAAGTAAGCTTCAGTTATTGAAGAAGACAAATGATTAAAAGTTACACGCAAAGATAAAACTTAGATAAATAAAACGATGAAAACGATAAATAAAAGAACATTAGATGAAAAGAAGAAACTAATATCCATAAAAAATCGTGTTAAAAAAGATGCATTAAAATAAAATTACTTTGTGCATCGGAACATTAAAAATATCCACTGCGACAAAATGTCTCGGCGCATTAATTTGGTAGCGTTAAAAAGTCAAACGTTGAAACATAGTCGCTGATTTAAACGTTTTACCCAAATTGAAGGAAATGATTGATATATAATTGTAGATATTTGCTAAGTTTATCTTGGCCTTCTACAAGGTCATAATGCCAGGTTAAACCAATGAGGATCGATCTCGCTAGTAATGGTGTTAACCATGTTTCTATGGTAGTCACCTTGGGTAAATGATTCTGGCACAAGGTCAGCATAATGGGATATATTTTGAGCATCTCACTCCACTAGCAATGGTTTATGCGATTCGTTTATTTACCATCGTTCTAGGAAATATGACCCATGTACATTTTATTAACTTTACCTTAGCTTGGCACGGCCCTGATAATGTAGCGCCTAGTGACCATCGAACTCATGAGTAGTCAATGAAATTAACTTGGTAAGCGTCAACCTACGCCACGCTTAAGATTGACATTCATTAAGCTTAACTTTTGTTCAAAAAGTCGGGAAACTAGAGAGAATCGAACTGCCTTAAATATTCATGAGATCTGTTGATAATTGCTAGACGGCTAGTGTCCCTGTGAGATTTGATTGTATTTCATTGTAAGAGTAAAACTGCGTGTAGAATTAAACGAAATTTTTACACAAGGTAACATTAATAGACCATTTAATATAGAATTAAATACTGGCTTGCAAGAGTAACATTCTGACGACCCCCTTTCAAAAGAAAAAACAAAACAAAAACAAAAAACAAAAAAACAATCAAAACAAAAAAAGAAACCTGAATTTGTTAAGGTGTATATACGTATGTAATTTAGATGAACAAATTTGAATACCCGTATATAAGTAAATTTATTGGATTTATTTTTATTGATCTTGTCTAATGGTTTAGGGTATATTTATATTTGAAACTGTGATTAAGCTTTCTCATATTGCATTCTTAATCATTTCACCCCGAGCAAGGCGATAAAGCCACTACGATTCAAGAGGTTACCGAGAGTTAACAAGGACAACAACAAAATAACTAAAAAAACAAAAAAACAAAGAGGAAAATAAAGGAAGAGGATTCAAGAAGACAAATGACGAAAATTTACATTGCGTTTAAATATTTGAAGATCGTAATTGACAGAAAAGCAAGAAGCTGGAAAAGAGTTCCACAAGCGAGAAGTGCGAGAGAAGGAACTATTAGAATAGAACTTTCGGTTGCACTAAGTAATTTCAACATAAAATAATGAAATCTATTTAACAATCTAATACTTCGCTTAAATTCATAAACTCGAGGTAGTTAAGAGAAAAGTTCATTAGATCAGTTACCGGAAAGATATTTATAGAAAAGGCAGAGGAAAGCGACTGAAGCTGAGATGCCAGGTCAAGACCGATAACATTGCAGATTCTTCTTTGGATTTTGTCAAGAACCTCTAGATATATAACAGATGTAGCAGTAATATTCAAAGCAAAGACGAATGGTAGACTTATAAATATGTAAAATAGATTCTGGCGAGAAATTTGTCTAGCACGACACAGAGAATCGACTTTCGTAGTTGCAGACTTAGTAATTGATTCAATATAATCATTCCACTTCATGTTAATGGAAAAAGAAGTCGCATTGAATTGTTATCTTGAAGATTAGCATCAGCCATATGCTGACAGAAGGCAAAAACGGTCGACTTAAATCAGGAGGGCGGCTCAAAGCTTGTATAACAATTAAGACCCCCGCACCTTTGTCGCGGGAGGTAATTAATCACAAAAAAACTGACATTGAAAGAGAAGCAACATTTATTGTGAACAGACAAATCCAATTTCGAACTTTTTGGTAGTAAGAGGAGACTGTATGTGAGAAGAAAGCCAGGTGACAGACTGAAGGATGACTCTGTACGTTCCAACGGGTAACCATAGTGGTGTGGGAGGAAGAGAGGGCTGGGCCAAGGGAAACATAAAAAAGGAAAATATCATTCGATTATGTAAAGGCATGCTATACCATCAGGTTTGGAATAAATCACCTTTCAACAAAATAACAATCCAAATCACTCTTCTAAATGATGTCAAAATG